GGTTCTAAGATAGTGGCTGTTACCCTGGAGAAGGTCATTGACTCTCTTCCCACATGGCTGGGCATTTCTCCAGGTGGCTAAGACTGCAGTGACCCAGCATGGCACCATCTGGTATTGTGGCCTCTATTGCCAGTTCTGGGGAAGTGATACAGCCTTCTCTGTATCATCCCATCCACCATGACTTCCAGGTCCCTGTCCACAAAGCAAGGTACCAATTTCCCCTTTCCCCTACCCCTTTCATCTCTCAAATATCAGTCAACGTACAAGGCAGTTCTGGACTGTCAATGCTTGTTCAGGTGCCCAATGATCTTATAAAGATGGCATGGACTCAACGGATGTTGGTCTATTCTAGGTTATCCCAGGAATGGCAAGTTCTTCTGGGTATGGTGAGTGGTTAGAATCAGGCTAGCATCAAATGAGAATATTTTCATAGGGACATATTTAATGAGGTAAGTTTGGGATGGTATGGTGAGAAATGTTGCTGGGCCTTGCAGAGAAAAACCATGTATGAAACTTGAAAAAATTGACACTTAGTCAAAAAGTGACAAGATTCAGTCCCTAGTCTGATTGATTGTATTTTGCCCTATTATATAGTTTTTAATCAACAGTAGTTAGTAGCGTTAGGAGAGTTGACATGACAATATAATCCCACCAGAGTGAACCAAATTCACAAATTAAAGGCTAAAATGATGCATCACTTAAAGCATTCTGGACAAATGGGTTTAATCCGTTCTACTGGTAGTTCAGCTGCTTTGTACTGTGAACTCAGCGACTCCTTGAGATTACTTCTGCTTGTCATCAGCACTCACTGTTTAAACAAAAGGACAAAAGTAGACAGAGAAAATGTTGAAAGTTAATCATAATTCTTTGCAACACTTAATTTTTAACTTTGCATCTTGGAGGTGGATCCAGCTTTGGAAAGATTTACCTCTGGCTGGAGATCAAATTTGGAGACCAATTTATCAGACCTTTGAGGCCAATGTGTATAAGGTTTGGCAAAGACAAACATATTACACATTTCACTGTCAAGCTAAAAGTTCGACATTGGACAAATTATTCCATTTATGGAACAAGTAACTCAATCTCTTAAGACAAGATAACATAACTACTGCACTCTAGTGGTTCAATTAAAATAGGTTTAAAAACTTCTCTTTACGTCATCACTTTCTTATTAAAAAGATTCAAAAGAACACTGGGTGCTCAAAATCAGAAACAAAAATGGAAATTGCTGGAAAATCTCAGCAGATCTGGCAGCATCTGTGGAGAGAAATCAAAGTTAATGTTTCGGCTCCAATGACTGTTCTTCAGAACTGAGGGTAGCTAGGAAAATGTTTGTTTTTATGCAGAAGATATGGTAGGGGAGGGGGTAAGGAGTGAATGATAGATGGACATAGAGTATAAAGAGAGAGAAGAACAAGTGGACAGACAAAGGAGTTGGTAATGGTCAGCCTGGGAGAGTGAATAGTTGCTAATGGAGATAATTTGTGGCTAACAATGGGTTATGTGTAATAGCAGACCACATGATAACAAGACCTGGTGTGTGGGGGTTGGGGTAACGACATCAGAGAAGGTACCTCAAGCCCTAAAATTGTTGAACTCGATATCGAGTCCAGAAAGCAGTAGAGTTCCCAAGCAGAAAATGAGGTGCTGAGCTTTGCTGGAGCATTGCAGCAACTTTGAGGCTGAGATGTTGGCCGGGGAACATGATGGTGTGTTGAAATGACAGGCAGCTGGAAGCTCAGGTCATTTTTGTAGACAGAACATAGGTGTTCTGCAAAGCAGTCACCCAGTCTATGCTTCATTTCCCCAGTTTGGAGGAGACCACATTGTAAGCAATGAATGCAGTAGACTAGATTGAGTGAAGTGCAGATAAAGCACTGCTTAACCTGGAATGTGTGTTTGGGCCCTTTTATACTGAGGGGGGAGGAAGTAAATGGGCAGATGTTAAACATTCTGTGGTTGTAGGGGAAGGTGCTGTGGGGCTGTTGGGTTTGTTGGAAGTGAAGAAGCGGTGGATCATGGTGTCCTGGAGCAAACGGTCCCTGCAGAAGGCTAACAAGGGAGAGAAAGGGAATAAGTGGTGTGGCATCCCACTGGAGGTGGTGGAAATGGCAGCTAATGATTCTTTGGATGTGGATGCTGGTGGGATGGTAGATGAGGACAAGCGGGACTCTATCGATGTTGTGGGGGCTGAAGTGTGGGTGATGGGTCGATACTGTGCGGGAGTTGGGTCAATCCCGGCTGAGGGCCCTGTCAGTTACAGCGCTGGGGAATCCTCACTTGAGGAAAAAGGTGACCCCATTGTCAAGGTTGGGATCACCAGAACAATGCGTTGGAGACGGAGGAACAGGGAGAATGGAATAGAGTCTTTACAGGAAGGAGGGTGTGAGGATGTATAGTCAAGGTAACTGTGGGACTTGGTCAGTTTGTAGCTAACAACCCATTAATAGCCACTAATAATCCCCATTAGCATTCATTCTTCCAGGTTGACTGTCATCCACGCTTTGTTTGTCCAACTGTTCTTCTCTCTCTTTGGGCTGTATCTCCACCTATCATTTACTCTTTACCCTCTCCCCTCATCCCACCCTCTGCACAAAAAATAACTGCTTCTAGCTACCATCAGTTCTGAAGAGGGGTCATTGGACCTGGTACGTTAACTCTGATTTCTCTCCACAGACGTAGCCAAACCTGCAAGTTTTTCCAGCAATTTCTGTTTTTGTTTATCACTTTCTCATTCTTTTCTTTAAGTTGTAATTTATTTGACTTTTCTTGTTACTCAAGTTTAATATTTGTAAGCAATATTCGCTTACACTAAATTCGAACTTGTCATGGATTTTCAGGTGGATGAGAAGATTTGTCCTGATAAGTTGCTTGGTCCCTTTCGCTATGATCCCAGGATCTAAGGTTATATTCATAGAAGATCATAGATCATAGAATCCCTACAGTGTGGAAACAGGCCATTCGGCCCAACAAGTCCACACTGACCCTCAGAGCATCCCACCCAGACTCATCCCCCTATAACCCACCTAATCTACATATCCCTAAACATTATGGGCAATTTAGGATGGCCAATCCGCCTAGCCTGCACATCTTTGGACTGTGGGAGGAAACTGGAACACCTGCAGGAAACCCATGCAGACACGGGGAGAATGTGCAAACTCCACGCAGACAGTTGCCTGAGGTTGGAATCAAACCCGGGTCCCTGGCGCTGTGAGGCAGCAGTGCTAATTATTATATTATTATAAGTTATATTATTGAACAAGATAGATCCCAGACAAAATTCTGGCTTCATGTTCATAATTTGTTTCTTTTTGGTTTTAACAACATGGTCTCTAATTAAACATAAGCACCATTGTTACAGATCTAATTTCAAAAATAAACAAAAAGTAATTTCATACCTAAAAGAGATAAAAATGAAATGGAACAAACTGAACTAATTACAGAGTATATATGTTTAAAGATTTTGAAACATACAGTAAAAGCATAATGCCATTAATCCTCAAAACACTCTGAAATGGCCTAACAAACCACTGTATTCAATGTCAATTAGAGTGGGCAACACATCCTAGTGTTGTCAGTAACATCCACATCCCTTGGAAAAATACACCAACTGCAAATGTAACAATGCAGGAACTATAAGAAGCTTATGGTCCTCTGAGAGTACGGCAACTTTCATTCATTCATTCAGTGTAGGGACACTGGAGACAATATTTGCAAAATGAACACTAGGACAGATAACGTTAGTGATTTTTCCTGTAGGAGTATGTGAACATGTGTAAACAATAGTTAACTACTGTTCTTCTGAAATCTGTGACATAGTTTGGTGATGCTTTTTATTCTGTTGTATTTCATTTAATTTCAAATTGACGGAACAAACCAGCCTGCTCCCAAATACCAACATACTTGAATATTTGTGAGGGTTATGATGGAAGCCGTGTTTAATACTTTTAAGAGTTTGGATTTCAACCTAGTGGCATATAGGTATTAATCTAATTTTATGAAGGGGTTTAAAAAGTAATTAGGTCTTTCCAGAGCCATAAGTTTAAAATCATTATATGTCAAGGGGCAGCTAACTATGAGGAGTCCTGAAGTGTTAGTCGAGGTTTGTTTATATTGTGTGGGTTTACAATACGTTAGAGAACACATTAAGCCATTAGCTATAGCAGTATCTAGATGAGTATCCGCCTCCCACTCTCTCCCTATTTATTTCAGAGCCCCCTTCCCCTCCCCCTTTTCTGATGAAGGGTCTAGGCCCGAAACGTCAGCCTCTCTGCTCCTATGATGCTGCTTGGCCTGCTGTGTTCATCCAGCCCTGCAACTTGTTGTCTCTAGATGAGTAGGTTGCTTTTCAAAGTTAAGTTCAAAATCTTTTAGGTTCAGCTCAAAGGAGAGCTTACTGGGTTCAGATGCAAGCATAGTTGCTCCCTTAAATGAGATTGTTCAGAACAGTTAAGGAAGTAAGTTACCCCAGTAAAAGATTTTCATTTGTGAAACTTTCAGACTGGTTGATGTTTGGTTAGAAAACTGCAATGGTTGATCAAAGATGAGCAAGTTTAACTTCTCAGTTATGCATGTATGTATTCAAGGAAAAGGCTTCGGAGCCCACAGGACAGGAACTGAGAATAAGCTGTTATGTCAAACCTACAGATTATACAGGGAAGGAATTTTTTGCTAGGTTTTGGTTAACTGTGATATTGGGGAGTACATGGGATTTTGTTTTGCTGTGTGCTTTAGCATCTTTTAAACTGTGTTATATTTAAATAGCTTGGTTCAAGTGACTTTTATTTCTACTTCTTTTGTGCAATGAACTTCTGTTTTTTGTTAAACCAAATCTACAGCCTTGTACTTATGTTTCCATAAAAGACCGTCGTATCTAAACAAAAATCAGTCATTCTGGAGTCTGACTTGTCCAGTAGTAATATCAGCTGGAATCATAACAGGGTTGATCTATTGTATCTGCTGAGTAATGAACATTTGGTTACCTGCATTGCTTTTTACAGATAGAAGTGCTGGAGGTTGCACTGGATCAATTTGGCTCAGCGAATGAAAGAAAAATTGCCATCATTGATAAAAATCGAGATCTGTATATTGCTTCGGTGCGTAGATTTGGGAAAGAACAAAAAATCATCAAAATTGGTAGGTATTATTTTCAACTAAAATTGGACTAATCCTAAACTTGCATCCTTCTCTAGTTCCTCTCCTTTCTCCTGTCATGTATTCCCAAGCTCATCTTGCTGTTAAGAACCTCCTCCTGTTCTTGCAACCATATTCCCATTAAACTGTTGGCCGTCAACTTCACGTCCTCTCTTCTTTATTAGCTAATATTATTATCAGTTTTCTTTCTTCTGATATTGTTCCTCTCTTTAAATCTGCTACAATCACTCCCTTTCTTGAAAGGATCAAGCCTTAACCCCTCTGATCTTGCAATATACTGACCAATCTTCAACCTCCCTTTACTCTTCAAAGTCTATAAATGTGTTGTTACCTAAATTCATCTTCTTCTTTCATGAAACTTTGTGTGTGAATTCTTTCAGTCAAGTTTCTGCTCCCACTACTGCACTGAAATATTTTTAATCAAAGTCACAAATGATATCTATGTTGACAGTAGCAAAGGTAAACTATTCCTCCTTATCCTTCTCAACTTGCCGGATGTGCTTGACAAAGAAACTCTGCTCCAACACCTCTCCATCTCATCTGGCTTGCTGGTGAATTAAAGATTAATCTGCTCGAACATGCTGTCTGCAGCCCAGGAGAAGAATTAGTGGGGCACAACGAGTCATACTTACGTTCACTACTGGACCTTGGAAAAAACAGAGTTGGCAACCCTATACGACATAGCTTGTGCATACTAACATACATGCTTGAATCATCAAGATAAACATGCTAAAATTGAGATAAATACTGCTTATTGAAAAAGAAATGAACACTGTTTTAATAAGGTATTTTTATTTTATTTCAGGTACAATGGTGCACTCTATAGCTTGGAATGACAAGATCAATATATTATGTGGAATGCAGAATATGTATTTTGTAGTTTGGTATTATCCTAACTCAATCTACGTGGACAAGGAACTTTTATCCAAAACAGTTTACGAAAAAGATGCAAGGTAAATGTTAAATTTCTGATAATTTAAATTTAAATTTAAATCTCTGTTAAATCTAAATCTCTGTTAAATTCAAAGGATGTTTTGTTTTCTACATATTTTACATGGAACTTGGAAATGTTATGTTAATCCATACCAATCTTAACTCACAAATTTACCAAGAGAAATTTAAGAAGTGATTTTATTTACAAAATAATATATTGAGGAAATGTTGAGCTAAAAATTTCTGTAATATAGAAAATTTTCTAACGTGTTTGTTTGCAATTTATGTGACATTTTCCTGTCTGTTATTCGAGTATACATTGTTATGATCCCCATTGAGGTTAAAAGCTTTTAAAAGATATTTGAATTTCAAGTGACTGACTAGGAAAATCACGTAATGAGATTTCAAGTTTTAAGATGTTACTGGAACAATCTAAAAGCAACATTGACCAAACACTATTTCTGTAGGCAACTTGTGATCTAAACTGTGAAAAAGTTTCACCATTTTACTTTTGAAATCACCTTAACATTTCCCTCCTTGTTTACATATTTCTCCATCCCTTAAGTGGACAATACTAAAGCTACATTCAGCGGCCTTTTTATTTATTATTTTCTCCAAGGGTATCCTGGGGATCCCTCCCTCTTGCTAAAGAGAGACAAATGTTTCACCCTTATTTAAATTCTCATAAACCTAATTTCTTCAACTGTGCATGATTGGATCAAGCCTTAACCCCTCTGATCTTGCAATGTACTGACCAATCTTCAACCTCACATTCTGCATTGTGAAAAACAAAATTGACTGCGTTGATCTCTCTGCTGTTATCTGCCTGGTCTTATCTGTCTATCTGTCAGTCTGCCTGTCTCTCTCTCTCTCTCTCACTGACACACTGACTGACTCACTTGTAAGATATAGGAGGAGAAATAAGCCATTCAGCCCATCAAATGTGCTGCACCAATTAATCATGGCTGATATGTTTCTCAACCGCATTTTCCTGCCTTCTTTCTGTAACCCTTGATCCTCTTACTAATCAAGAACCTGCCTATCGCTGTCTTAAAGACATTCAATGACTTGGCCTCCACAGCCCTCTGTGGCAATGAATTCCACAAATTCACCACCATCTGACTGAAGAAATTCCTCCTCATCTCAGTTCTGAAAGCTCATCCATCCACTCTAAGGCTGTGCCCTCAGGTCCTAATCTCTCCTACTAGTGGAAACACACTCTCCGCATCCACTCTATCCAGGCCTGTCAGAATTCTGTAAGTTTCAATGGGATCCCCATTCATCTTCTTAAACTCCATCAAGTACAGACTCAGAGCCCTCAGTCATTCCTCATGTCATCCCTGAAATCATTATTTTCCACCTTCTCTGGACCCCCTCCAGGGCCAGCACATTCTTCCTTAGATATGGGATCCAAAACTGTTCATGATATTCCAGATACGGTCTGATCAGAGTCTTATACAGCCTTAGCATCTCTGCTCTCGTATTCTAGCCCTCTTGAAATGAATGTTAATGTTCCATTTACCTTCCTGACTGCCAAGTGAACCTGCACGTTGACCTTAAAAGAGAATCCTGAAATGGTACTCCCAAGACCCTTTCTGCTTCAGATTTCCAAAGTCTTTCCCATTTAGAAAATAGACAGTGCCTCGATTCTTCCTATCAAAGTGCATAACGTAACACTTTCCCACATTGTAGTCCGCCTGCCATTTCTTTGCCCACTCTCCTTGCCCGTCAAGTCCTTCTGCAGCTTCTCCGCTTCTTCAACACAACCTGTCTCTCCACCTATTTTATTTCATCTGCAAACTTAGCAACATTGCCCTCAGTTCCTTTGTCCAAATCATTAATGAATAACATGAACAGATGTGGTCCTAACACTGACTCATGTGGAACTCCTCTAATCACCAGCTGCCACCTGGAAAAGACCTCTTTATCCCCACTGTCTGCCTTCTGCCAGTCACCCAATACTCTATACATGTCTGTACCTTGTCCCTAACACGGTGGGCTCTTATCTTATTTGGCACTCTCCTTGCGGCACCTTGTCAAAAGTCTTCTGAAAACCCAAATCAGTCCTCCTCAAAGAATTCTAAAGATTTGTCAGCCATGATCTTTCCTTGATGAAGCTGTGCTCACTCAGCCGATTTTACCATGCATTTCCAACTACTATGCAATCCCATCCTTAACTCTAAATTCTTACCAATGACTGAGGTCAGGGTAACTGGCTCATAATTTCCCACCTTCTGCCTCCTTTCCTTCTTAAACAGGGGTGTTACATTAGCGATTTTCACAATTGTGGATTGAGGAAAATTAGCGATTGTGCCATATTGATCATCCAATACAGACCGAAGCCCTTGGTAGATGGGCAATTAAGAGTCAACCACATTACAGTGTATCTAGAGTCACATCTAGGCTAGTCCAGGTAAGGGTAGCAGATTTCCTTCCCTAAAGGGAATTAGTAAAACACAACAATCGGCTGTGGTTACGTGGTGACCACATCAGACTATTTTTTATTCCAGATTTCCAGTAGAGGACTACTGGACATCACTCCTGTGCTTTCTTGGAATTAACTTTAACTTGATGTCTGGCTTCTGTCTTGGATGCTATGAGACTGTGCCTTCTTTGGGAATAATGTCCACAGATGCTAGGAAATGGTTCTTCATCTGGCATATACACATTCTATCGTGAACCTCTTGTGGGATGTAGGTCGATGTCCATGCTTTTGCCATATGGTGAAGATAAATTTATAATGTGATTCTGGTGCCAAAGAAATAGCCTAGAAACTGTTTGCAATACCTAATGCACTGTATCTGGGCTTAGCATATTAAAGCCGTGGCAGGAGTTGCAACAATGGGATGTAACTGTATGGATACAGTATTTAAATGGGGGTATGGGGGCCAGTTAGCTCCCTTGGCTGGTCAGCTGGTTTGCAATGAAGAGGGATGCCAACACCATGGGTTCAATTCTTGAGCCAGCTGAGGTTTCTATGAAAGACTATCCTTCTGAACCTCTCCCCTCGCCTGATGCACCGTGACCCTCAGGTTAAACCACTATCAGTTGTTTCTGTTTTTCTCTCTCTCTCTCTGTCTCTCTATCTCTCCAATGAGTGAGCAGTCCTAAGGTCCAGTAGGACTATGATGACTTTTATTCAAATCCAAACATTCAATTGCCTATCTGTACTTTGTGTTCAGTTTCAGGACTGGCTACATGGGTGAATTATTGTAAAGGTCATCCTGCACAGAATCTCTCTACCCACTAGTTCTTTATTTATTTTCTCAATGGCTGCTTTTGCTTCTGGCTTAGTAGCATGCAGCTAATGAGCATGATGTTATTTGGCGGGAATTACCACCGGTTCTATTTCTACCTTTCTGTAATTTGTTTGTATTTACTTACCGTGACAAACATGCTAGCCATTGACTAGTCTGGAGAGATGGATTTCACTGCTGCTATTGAGATTGTCCATGTAAGCAAGTGTCCCTGCCAAGTATCCATTCTCTCCCTTTATAATTAGCCAATGATGAGTTTCCTCTAGAGGGCAACAACATCCAGCATCTCACTTAAGATATCAGTCCCTAAAATTGCTACCTCATTGTTTGGATATACCTAAAAACATACAGAGACCATCACATTTCCTACCTTCAATAATTGGACTTCCTCTGTTCAACTCTATTTGACATCCTCACCTCTATGTCATTATGTACACAAGTTCCCTTGTGGCAGCCAGTGGTTTTTAATTTATTTGTGGGATTGTGGGTGTCACTGGTTGGCCAGCATTTATTGCCCGTCCCTAATTGCCCTTAAGAAGGTTGTGGTCAGCTACTTTCTTGAACTACTGCAGTCCACCTGCAGTAGGTTCTCAGAAATATTTGAAATTGGGCACTTGAATACACCTTGTCTTGACAGGAGAGATGAATGCAGGCATTATTGGTGCTGTCGATTTGGGGGTTCATACAGACTGGATCTCCAAAGCTGTGTCCTGGACCGCAGATATCGTTTTTTTGTGTTTACAGGCCTCATTTCATATATCTCCCCAGTTTACTTCATAGAAATCTGAATTATCCTGAGGGAACAGTAGCACCACCCTGGCCACGTTTTGATGAAGGAGATAGAGATTGGACCAAAATACTTCTTGCTCCTTTAGCAGTTTTCCCTTCTCCTGAGTGATCCTACCAACTTCAGATTTTCCTGGTTGATACATAATAGGGTGATACTGGTATTAGATAATTTTTCTTTTCTCCTCTTTTCCTTTTGTCCATCTTCCCACCACTCTTTATACTTCTTCCTTACCTATTTTACCAAAAACCTGTATATACTTATTTATCAAAATTTGATAAGGGATACTTTGGTTTCCCCATTCCTTTTTCTGGTATGTCATGACTGAAGTTTAATTCAATTTAATATTTCTATCCCACGGTAAACCTACCCCTCCCATTTTGCCCTATAATTATTCTTAATCCCTGTGGAAAGGGTACCTATCACATTTTATCCTGTGGCCATTCATTAATTCACCTAGTTTATCCTGAGAACAATACTAACCTTCTTGTTCACCCAAGGAACCACAATCCTGGCACTGCACGGACTTCACTTACTTTACCTCCAGACTTACTACTTGGTTTGGATCCTCAAATCAGCTTGCCAGACCCCGGTCCTAAATGCCAATCTCCCTATCTAATGGATGGTAAAGCAAACATACTCACCTGTCATCTGATGTAAAAATTCAAAAAATCTATTGTGCCTTGAGGGTTCTCCTGATTACATCTATTGTTTCCAAAAAAAAAACCACTCTCAAGTTTTCATGAGTCAGGGAATCAAAGCTTTTCTTTGAGCTTAAACAAGCAAGAAGATATTAGTTATCCAAAGAACTTATCATTAATGCAGCTTAGGCATATACTTATAGTTACCAATTTCATACAGGCCCATATTATCTCAACCTTCAGCTTTGGGTCTGTCAGTTTCCATGGTGACTCAACTTGTCTTGTCTGGCCTTCAGTTTTCCATATCTCTTTTGTCTGTATAGCAATAAATAATATGCTTAGATAGGTTGTTATTATTACAATTGCGGAAGTACCATTCCAAAAATTGCCCTTGATCAGGTATTCTGTCATACCACGAAGAAATCAAGCATATCTATAGCACTTATTTCAAGACTATCGTGCACTTAATACATAGTACGTTGGAAGATCATTGTGCTTGTTAGAGGTCAGTCATCTCAGCTGAAGGATATGTTTGCAGGAATTCCCCAGCATAGTGTCCTAGCCCCAAACATCTTCAGCTGCTTCCCACCATCATAATGTCAGAAGTTGGCAGATGATTGCACAATGTTCAGCACCATTTGTGATTCAAAAGAACAAAAAGAACAAAAGAGAATTACAGCACAGGAACAAGCCCTTATGCCCTCCAAGCCTGTGCCAATCATCATGTCCTGACTAAACTAAAAAAACAAACCTTCTGCCCTTATTCGGTCAGTATCCCTCTATTCCTTCCCTATTCATGTAACCATCCAGATGCTTCCAGCACCTCCTCTGGCAGTGCATTCCAGGCTCCTAACACTCTCTGCATGAAAAACTTTCCTCACATATCTCCCTTAAACTTTTGCCTTCTCACCTCGAACCTGTGCCTCCTTGTCATTGAAACTTGAACCCTGGGAAAAAGCCTCTGACTGTCCACCCTATCTATGCCTCTCATAATTTTGTAGACCTCTATCAGGTTTCCTCTCAGCCACTGTCTTTCCAGGGAGAACAATCCTAGTCTTTTCAACCTTTCCTCATAGCCAATGCCCTCGAGACCAGGCAACATCCTGGTGAACCTTCTCTGCACTCTCTTCAAAACTTCCACATCCTTCTGGTAATTTAGCGACCAAACTGTACACAGTACTGCAAATGTGGCCTAACAAGGGTTTTATATAGCTGCAACATGGTTTGCCAACTGTTGTACTCCACGCCCTGGCTGATGAAGGCAAGCATGCCATATGCCTTCTTAATCACTTTGGTCACCTGTGTTGCCACTTTTAGGGAACTGTGGACCTTCATGCCCAGATCCATCTATATGTTAATGTTCCTAAGGGTTGTGCCATTTAAACTATCATTCACACCTAAATTTGATCCTCCAAAATGCATCACCTTGCATTTGTCTGGATTAAATTCCATCTGCCATTTCTGTGCCTAAGTCGTCAATCTATCCATCTATATCCTGTTGTATCCTTTCACAGTTGTTGGCAGTATCAGCAACTCCACCAATCTTCGTATAATCTGCAAACTTACTAATCAGACCACCCGTATTTTCTCCAGATCATTTATATATACTACAAACAACAGAGGACCTAAGGTTGATCCCTGTGGAACACCACTTGTTACTGGTCTCCATCCTGAAAAAAACCCTTCCACCACTCAGATACTGAAGCAGTCCATGTTCAAATGGCACAAGATCTGGACAATATCTAGGCTTGGGCTGACAAGTGGCAAGTAACATTTGTGCCACACAAATGCCAGGCAATGACCATCTCCAATAAGAGACAAACTAACGACCACCCCTTGACAATCAATGGTGTTGCCATCATTGATTTCCCATTGACCAGAAACTCAACTGGACTTGCCACATAATTACAGTGGCTACAAGAGTACATCAGAGGTAACACTATGCAGCGAGTAACTCACCTCCAGACTCTCTCAAGCCTGTGCACCATCTACAAAACACAAGTCAGGAATGTGATGGAATACTCCCCATTTGTCTGCAGGTCCGTTCAAAAAGCATGATACCACCCAGAACAAAGCAGCTCACTTGATTGGTGCCACATCCACAAGCACTACTCCATCCACCACTAATGGTCAGAAGCAGCAGTATGTGTTATCTACAAATGCACTGCAGAAATTCACTAAAGATCCTTAGACAGCTTCTTCCAAACCCAACTGCCATTTTCATCGAGCAGGACAAGGTCAGCAGATACATGGGAACACCATCACATGCAAGTTCCCATTCAAGCCACTCACCATCTGACTTGATTCAAGATGGCAGCTCATCCCCACTTTCTCAAAGGCAATTAGGGATAGGCAATAATAAATGCTGGTCAACCACCGATGCCCAAATCCCACAACTGAATCAAAAAAACGCTGATAATATTAATCTGTTTGCCCCTACTTCAGGTATGCATATCACATACCTTCTATCCAGTAGAACAACCTGGCATCTTTAACAATCAAATGATCCAGCCTGTTGTCAGATGGATTCAGGACAGTTTGCATAACCCTCATTGCTCCATTTTACCCTCATTTAAAATGACAATTCCAAAACTTAACAATATGTAAACTTCATATTTGTATGACATTTGTATACTAAAACATTGCTTACTATAATGAACATTACCTCTTTAGGTATTTTATGCTATTGATAATTTGTTTTGTTTAACAGTGAATTTGGTAAAAGTCCTCAGATTGTGAACTATGTGGGAAACCAGGTTACAGTCAGAAGAGCTGATGGCTCACTGATATATACAAGTATATCACCATATCCAGCCATTCTGCACGAATATGTCAGTGCCTCACGCTGGGATGATGCTGTTCGCCTGTGTCGCTTTGTTAAGGTATTTAAAAAAATGTTGTGATGTGAGTTATTTTGTGGAACAATTATTCATTGCAAGAAATAAATATTAATGTTCAGTTTATGCTAAAGTACCATTTTATTAATAGGGAGATGCGTGTTTCAAATAATGTTAAAGTATAAACCATAGTAATCAAAATCCACCTAAAAGCAAATGGTGTATGGAAAAAAATCAATATCTTAAAGTTTTTCTCTGAAATCTTTGTTTACTACATAATATGTAAATCATAACTCTCAATTCTCAGTTAAAGGCACATCCACCAAAATATAATTTGTAAGAAAATTAAGAACTCCACAAAAAGTCATATAATGAAGGTAACTTCTGACTTTGACAGCTAGTGATAGGAGATCAGCTACCTGATACATAACTACGCAATTTTCTTTCCACTGAAATCAATTTTTTTCAATTTTTTTCAATTTCCTGCCCATATCCGAGTTGAAACTTACCCCCAATGTTGTTTACTAATGCATCTGTATCGCTATTATTTTATGTGTTCTTCTCGCAATGCAACCTTTAATCATGTCCTGATTGCGTTGTATGCTTTGGGGCATACTTTGTCACCACTGTGTGGACTACATTAGATATATGACCTGAATCTTCCAATCTGGTTTGGAGTGCCTATTTCTGATCAGAAAAGAAGTTACCCATTTATCAAAGGTGGAGTTTTCTGAGTGAACCTCCAGGGCACCTGAAGCAGTACAGTTTAGTCCAGGAATCCACATGGGCAGAGGCAGCAGGCTGGATTAGCACTGAAACCACGCCTCTTGTTTGTAGTGCTAGCTGTCATATCTCATGGTGTTAAGGGCCTAAAATCACTTCATCACTACTGAGAAAAGTTGTGTATAAAGTAAATGAACGTTTAGGAAAGCAAATGAGTAGGGTGGTAGGCTGCCAGTTGGGTGGTGAAAGTGGTTAGGTTGCCTAATGGGTAGATTGCCTTATGGGTGAGTAGGTACAGGTGGCAAATAAGCAAGGACCGTAGGGTGCCTAATGGATAGAATAACGTGTGTGAAAGGTATAAATACCGGGTGGGTGCAGGGGATTGGCTGTCCAATGGGTTTGGCTGGTAGGTAGCAGGTAAGTGGCTAAGGGCTTAAGGTGGATCAGGGTGTTGTGGGTCTATTTATGGGATCAAGTTCAGGGCAACTCAGGGTTGACTTGGGGGTTAATGAGGGGTTGGTATTGTGTCCTTGGGTTGTCGAGGTGGGGAGGAATCAGGAGACAGGGAGGCGATTTGGGATTGAGATCGGCTGTCCATTAGGTTTCAGGGGGGATGCTGGGGAGTGGAGTTCACTGTTGAATTGACAGAGGTGCTATTTTATAGCTGGCCAGAAGTTAAATCAGAATTTAATTCATCTTGCTCTTCATGGCTAAATACTAAAGTGAGTGAGTCACATCCCTATATTGTGTGCTGTGCAAATACAACTTTCAGACAGAAATCTGTAAAATGACAATAGGAAGAAACAAGCAAGTTCATCATTTTCAGACTGCACAGAAGCCATTACATCAGCAGGATTCAAACTGAATATGTATTTTGTAATGAAAACGTATTACATTCTTTTTATTTTGTGAACCTGGATTTTAAAGTTAAGGTTTTTGGTTTTCAGTGCTTCAAAGGTCTGATTTGTTTTTTATAAGAAAAAGGTTAAAAAAAGTAATTTGAAACAGTGAGCTAAAGACAATTATTCCAAGAATTCATGTAACTCAAGTTAAATGATTCAACAAGCTACCTGGTGAGATAATTGGTGCTCTTTATGATCTACAGCATTACAGATAGACAGTGGCATGAGTAGATAGAGTTCATAAGAAATTATCCATACCAGCAGAAGCGCAGTTTAATTTTGGAAATCTTCAAGCTATCAAAGCTGAAAGAAGTCTTGAACTGCTTTAACAATCTCAAAGTAGTCAAAGTTAGAGAAAAAGCAATGTGTTCAGCTGTCTGTGTGTCTTGGAAAGAGTCAAAGAATCACATTTGGTGAAAGTACAGAATGTCACAGGAAGGAAATGCTTACAATCTCATCAGTTGAATAAGAATTTTAAAGTGAAGATGAGAGTGATGCTTCACTGAGGTTTGTCTGTAAAGGATTTTGCTAAGGAAAAAGGTTCAATCATTCTTTTTGCTGTTTCTGAAAAGATCTTTCCAAATTGTCTGTTTGACCTATAATAAAGGTTCTTTTCTTTCATATAATAAACTTACTTTCTTTTGTTAAAAGTACATTGACAACCACATGTGAATATGTTCAGTGACTGACCCACCACAGTAACCAAATTGCAAAACTAAAACTAATGGTTTACCAAGCCAAATTTCACTGTGGAATATGAATTCTCCAGTATTACTACAAGTTGGAATCTGAACATTTAATGCATTTAACAAGTTATGTGTCCATTAGGATATTTGGTTATTAATTGTAAGGCTCTGAAATTCTAAAATCATGCAAGAGTGGAACATGCATGGATCACCAACAGGGGTGCAAATTTAAGTGATACATTGTTGCATCAGGATTCCACCCTGAACAGTGTGTCCAAAAAATTGCAGGAAATCCATTAGCCAATTTACATTTATCATGGAGATATACCTGGGGGAGTTCACAGTTTATCACAGAAATATTGCTCAGTACAACCTCATAAGGCTTCACCCGACCTTGCAGCTCGGGTTTCACTGACGCTTAGGACTGGAGTGATGAATAATATTTACTTACATAAAAAAGACAGAATTAGGCTAACAGGTCTTGAGCCTTCTTTGATATTCAGTTAGATTATAACTGGACTTTTACATCAACTTAACTTTTGCATTCTATTCTCACATTTCTTCAGTTCCCTTCAAAGCCCAGAAATCCATCAATCTTAGTCTTGAATGTACTCATCAAATTACAATCTATACTCCTCTGAGATAGAGAATTACCTTAGATTCACAATCTTACAGTGAAGGAAGTTCTCCACAGCTTATATCTAAATGGAGGATTTCTCCTCCTTCAGGATCAGCAAAGCAACACAGCTTTTCTTCAGTGATATCTTTAGTGATGATTAGATATCTGTGCCCCTCAACAGGGACAGCAATGGGGCAACCCAAGATCTGCTACTGGATCAGGGCAACACCAAAGATATGCTATTTTTGGTGGACATGCACATGACCCTGTCTGTAAAGTTCAAAATACAGTCTGCAGCCTTTGCTTTTGATGGACAGAAGTTACACTGTACAGATAGAGTTGCATCATAACATTTCAGACACTAAAAATTAGAATAAAGTTGAAGATTTGTTGCAGGAGAAGTAATAGTAAAGAATACATTGCTTGAACTTGGAATCAAAGCTTGTCTGGAAATAAAGCAAGATGTTGATTAGATGATAAATTTTGTTCTGGACAACTAAAACATGGACATGAGAAATTACATTGGAGAAGGTTGGCACAAGAGTACATGATTTTTTAAATGTATTTTGCAAACATACAGAATGAAAAAGGAATGACAGACAAACAATTATTTGCTTCATCCTGCTGTACTTTTAGGTAAGTTGAATTTTGAAAGTAAATGAATATGTTACAAAAAGGTGGAGTATAGGGAGACAACAAGAGACATAGAGTTGAAAATAAAAGGAGTTGCATGGAGAAACAGAAGGCTAAGGGGTGAGATAACAATGTGTAGAGCTGGATGAACACAGCAGGCCAAGCAGCATCAGAGGAGCAGGAAAGCTGACGTTTCGGGCCTAGACCTGCTCCTCTGATGCTGCTTGGCCTGCTGTGATCATCGAGCTCTACACCTTGTTATCTCAGATTCTCCAGCATCTGCAGTTCCTACTATCGCTAAGGGGTGATTCAGGTCTGAGAGAGAAAGTAGATAAAGAAATGAGACAAAGATATGTTTGCCTACGTGTGCAGTAACCCTTTTAGGTCCCTCTCACTCACTTAGCACTTCATCAGTTTGGCACTTCTTTCCATCCAAACTCAACAGAATTGAGGATCTAAGCCCACCCAGTTTGCAGTGTGTTATGCCTGTTCTCATTGGCAAATGAACATGACAGACAGTTTCTGTGGCTTTCACAAAGCTTGAATTAGCAATGGCTAGATTACATGGCTAATGTGCAGTTGTGGATTTCAACCAAAATGTGAAACATTTAAATGTCTTTCATCATTTTTTAATCAATGCAAGGTTTTTGTTCATGTTAATACTTCCTAACAAACTCAGACCAACAAATAATGTAGATTTGATATTTCAGTGACATTTGCATCTTCTCATTTTTTGTTATTTGGTTGAAATTTTGTTCAGTGCTTGAAGTTCGAATTTATGTGTTCTTAATTATTTGTTTAAAAATGATTCATTCATTCACAAGATGTGGGTATCACTGGAAAGGCCATCATTTATTGTCTGTCCCGAATTGCCCTTAAGAGGATGGTGTATGTTGAAAGTATTCCACAGAACTGTTAGGTTGGGAGTTCTAAGACTTTGACCCAGTAATGATAAAGGAATAGCAAAATATTTCCAAACGAGGTGTGAAACTCAAAGGAGACCATTGAACCATGTTGGGGAAAGCATGCATGTTGCTCCCATGCACCTTGAAGATGATAATTAATCTGAAACTGTCAACACCCTGTAACATTACTGCAAGTCCCTTTGTTATTTTAGGATTGCTGAAACAACAAGCTCAGTTGTTCTCCATTACAGTTGCAATAATAATAGACAAATCATACTAAATTGTCCCACATTAGTACTGGGAGTTCACAGGACAGTTGGTGTGGGAAGTGGAAGAATGTGATTTAGGTAATACCCTTATCATTTAGGACAACAACAGCTTGGACCATACTGTGGCATAAATCCCCAGTTGAGTGTCCACTACCATAACAATTTACCACATGTCAAGTATTATAGTGTTGATCTAATGATGATAATTGTTTGACATGTTTTCATTCTATTCATAAGCAATTCATAAGCAAGTTCAACATTGGTGTAGTTAGATTTCAAATTTCTATAATTCAAGGCTATCTATAACA